TGACAGATTGTGAAACTGCTACAAGGACGGAGGGTTGTTCCTTTCAACATAGGGCTCTCGCTTGAACAAATCCTCTACATGTGTGGTCCGAAGTGTCAGCTTGTGCGAAAACACGGGGCTGACGCTTGACACTTGCAGTCAAAACGTATCTCAAGGACAGGTGGTAGGGACGCAGGACCCATGGAGGCCGAAGCTGGGATCTGTTGGGCGGCGAGCGGCCAGTGAGAACGGCACAGGACGGGCCGCAGAGGCCAGGACACAAGGGATCCCTAGATGAAGGCACGCGTCCTTACTAGGCGCGTTAACTGCACTTACGCTTTAGTGGTATGTCCTCTTCGCGCTCCGTATAGCCGTAAGGGTGACAACGATAACGATCACAACGATCGCAACGACAACGGTCACAACGATCACAACGATAACGATAACGATCACAACGATAACAATTGTTGTGATCGTTGTGATCGTTGTGATCGTGATCGTTGTCCTCGTGGGAAGCTTCAGTTCAAAACGGGGCCCCCACCGGCCTGGCAAGCCCACGGGCACTTTTTCTTTCAAGGGGTCGCTCACTCAGAGGAAAGGAATGCACGTACGGGCTCTTGAGAAGGGGATTTGGGACGGGATGGTACATCACGGCTGATGCATCTTCTTCTTGGTTTGCTCTGGTCATCGTTCTCCTCTCTCTCTCCCTCCTCCCTCCCTTCCTCAACGTGGAGGGGGGGGGGCGACAGGCTTAGAGCAGCAGTGGAACGACATTCGTGGACATCGGGCGACGGCAATACACGAGCTGTCAAAGGCCCTGGCCCTCAGCGGATGTGCTCGGTGTACGCGTAGCAGAAGGGCTCCTCGTGCGCGGCGCACATGGAATACAGCCCGCTCTGCAGCACCAGGTCGTCCAGCCCGTTGGCCACTGGGCAGAGGCCACTCAGCTTCTTCTTGTCGAAAGGCTCGACCCAGGTGCAATAGGTGGATTGGCCGTATCTCTGCTGGCCCATGGGGCACGGCATGTCGTAGAAGAGAGGGTCCCTGGCGCGCATGTCAGCGTGGATGCCGTCGCACTGGAGCCCGCGGTAGCGGTTGGAGATCTGCCACCGCTTCGTGGTAGGGACCTCGATGCCCTGCTCGTAAAGCGCTTTCTCGGTGCGATACTCGTTCGACCCAAGTTGCTTGGACAACTTGCGCTGGAGGATGAAGTTGAAGACGATTGGGATGTTGGTGCGCGGGTCGCGCCCTTTGTCCTGGCTCGTCGCGGCAGCCATGATGGCCTCGTCATGGTAGGTCGGCGAGCCCCACACCATCTTGACCTTAAGCTCGTGGAGCTGGTTGATGGACTCAAGCAGGGCGGACATCCTGTGCCTTGCCAGGACAAAGTTCGAGCCAACCCAGACGACAACGGTGTCCCCCTCTTTAGGGTCCACGCCGATCAATTTCATCTCCTTCTTTATCTCCTTGATGGGCAGCTGGTGGCTGACCCAGCCGTCCCAGTGGATGAAAGATCCAATGCCCTCCTCCGAGCAGCCTTTCGGCAGCTCCGCCGTCTCTGGGGCCTGCTTGGTGCGGGAGTAGAAGCGGGCATTGCTCTTCGTCCTTGACCCGCCTTTCTCGTTCCTGCGGACCGACGCCATCATGTCGTCAAGGTAAGCCGCGGTGTGATTGTCCCACCAGAGCTCAGGGCACTTGTTGAGGCGGTGGAACGCACTGCGGAGGGCCATCATCTGCGAATCGCCAACAAAGAGATGATTTGTCCTGCCGTGGGCGCGCTCCTTCATACAGTCCGACTTCAGCATGGCTGCGTCCGGGCCGGTCATCTGCAGAGCGTCCTCGGCGTACCCTGCCCCCTGCATCTGCGAAAAATACTTCGCCGCGTCCCAGTTGACCGCCTGGAGCATCTGGTCCGTGGGCGCATGCCTCAGCTACCCCCATGATGGGATGCAAGACGTCGGCGACTTGGCAATCGATGCCAACTCCGCGCGCGCCTGAATTGTCCAGCAGGTTGTACTGCGCACTCTTCTCGCCGCGGTGCTTCGCGCGCCTGTCGTCTGCAGCGCGGATGTCGTAGATCTGCGTGGGCTCGCGCAGCGCCGCGCTCGGGGCGTGGCCGAGTGGGCGCGTCGCTCTGAAGGCCCCCGAGTCCACCATGATGCACCCCCCGCAGCTCTCGTCGTCACCTCCTGAGCCGCCACCCAGCGGAGCTCGCCGCATCGAGGTCCGACTCACGGGGTCCGCAGCCTGGGCCGCCGGGCGCAGCACCCACTGGATGGCGGGCGCGGTGCCTCCCGCGGCCCCGCCGCCCGCTGAGCTTGCGCTGCCGCCGCTCGGAGCGGCCATCGAGCTCGCCGTCGGCAGCTGCACAGCATTGGCCCGCGCCTGGGCGACGCTGCTCGGCGCCGCGGAGGGCGCGCTCGATGCTGTTGAGCCCGTCGCAGGCATAAGTAGCTGAACCGAGTTCAGCGCGTCCTTCAACTCGATCGCCTTGCTGGCTGCGCCGTTTACTCTCGTAGTCTGGCCAGGGCAATCTCTCGCCAGATGGCCCTTCTGACGGCGCCTCCTGCACGTCCATGTCTCGACGCGCTGCCCATCATTGCCACCTCTGCCCTTGCCGTCCTTCTGCGTCTGGTGCTGCGATCGGGGGCCCCTCTTTCCGTCGTAGAGCTTCCCGTATCCCTTCTTGCCGCCGTCTTTTCCTTTGCTCCTCCCCTCCCCCTTGCCCTTGCCATTCTTGATGGCGTTTACGACCATCGTCACCTCGGCTGGTGCCATCCCCCCTGCTGCCTGTCGCCGTCAAGGGCCCGATGTCCATCGGTGCTGGTCCAGCGTCGTCCGCCGCGGTGGCCCCCGCTGCGGCGCCTCTTGCAGCGTCCTGGAACGTCTTCCTGTTCGCCAGGTACGTATTCGCGTGCTTTGCGGCCCCGTCGTAGTCCCCGAGGCGGTCGGCGTTGACCATCAGCCACTGCTGAAAGTCTCTGTCCTGGACCAGCCTGGACCCCCGCTATGGGGAGTGCCGCCTTGATGTCGCCGGGCACCGCGCCGCCGTGCCGCTCGCGCGCCTGGGCCGCCGCGCCGAACTCGTTCATGTCCGTCTCGATCATCGTCGCCGCTCCGAACGTCCACCCCATCAGCTTCCTCATCGGTCCCAGAGCTGGCGCTGGCTGGTCGGGCTCGAACTCCCCCGCGAGCTTGCGCCGCAACAGCAGTCCTTCGCCTTCTGGAATCGGCCGCTGCATGGCGGGCGCCTTGCCTTCGAGGAGCACCGCGAGCATGCGGTGCAGCTGCCGTGACGCGCCGACGAGCGCTGGGTTCTCAGGTCCAACGCCTCGTTGGCGACGTCTTCTTCGGCCTTCTGCCCAACCGCGGTCATCTCCTGATGCGGCTCGTCGTCCAGCGTCACGATGCACGCCAGCAGCTCGAACGACCGCGCGGGCCACACCGCCTCGCTGCCCATGAACCGGGGTGGTTTCGTCAACAGCTTCGTGTCGATGATGTTCCACTTCCGACGATCCTCGCCCCTCGCTGGCGCTGGGCTCGCCGCCGCCCCCCGCGGCGGTCAGCTGCTGGAGCGCCTGCTGAAGCTGCTGAAGCTGAGCATTATGCTGTCCGGCTGTCATCTCTGCTCGCGCCTCCAGCCTCAAGGCTCGCTTCTCTGCAGCTTCCGCTCGAGCCGTCGCCGTCCGCAGCGCATCCAGAACCTGCCGTGCCGCCGCCGGCTGCTGCTGCGGCAAGGCTCCTGCTGCAGCTGCGGCCGAGGCCGCGGGGTCGCCCGCTGCCTGCTGCGCCGCTGCTGCTCGCAGCTCCTCCTCCATCCCTGAACCTCCACGCTGCGAAGGCCGCGTGGGCCTCACTCTCGTGGGGCATGAAGGAGTTGCCGTCCTCGTCGACGACGTCGAGCGGCCACGCGTGACCAAGCTCCTTGTCGAAGACGACGTCCCCGAACACGCGGTGCGTGAACGTTGGCAGGTCGAGCTCGCGCCCGACGATCTTCTCGACGAGGCTCAGCGCCGATTCCAGCAGCCTGCAGACGTCTCCGCGTCGCTGCCGTCGCCAGGCGGCGTCTTCCGACCGCCGCCGCCCGCGCTGTTTCCTCTGCTTCTTTCGCCCCGTCGCTGTCGCGCCCGCCGAGGCTCCTGCCTCGGCCCGCAAGGGGTCTGGGCTGCCTTCCGCGCGCCTTCCGCGGTGCTTCCCGCTGGGCCGCTAGGCCGAGTTGCTGCCTTCCGCAGCCCGCGGAGATAGGCTCAGCTAAGCTAAGCTAAGCGAAGCGATGTTAAGCTAAGCTAAGCTAAGCTAGGCTAGGTTAGGCTAGGCTGAGCTAAGCTAAGCTAAGCGACGTCAAGCTAAGCTAAGCTTAGATGAGATAAGCTAAGCCAAGCCAAGCCAAGCTAAGCTAAGCTAAGCTAAGCTAAGCTAAGCTAAGCTAAGCTAAGCTTGGCTGAGCTTAGCTAAGCTAAGCTGGGTGAACCCAGGGGGTGCAACTGGGGGAACCGCGGGGCGGGGACTGGGGGAACCGCCCGGGGCGTTTTACACTGCCCGGCCCCTTTAAGCAAACAAAGTAAGAACCCTCTAGGCAGAGCCTAGGTAGGGAACAACTCACCAACCAACCAACCAACCAACCAACCAACCAACCAACCAACCAACCAACCAACCAGCCAGCCAGCCAACCAACCGACCACACACCAAACTCGAGCACGCACAAGACGACAGGGGAGAATATGAGAAAATGGCGAAAGGGTGGAAGGGAAACGACGGAGAAGATGGAGGAGAGGGAGGAAGGGGAGGAGGGGAAGGAATGGAAGGCCAAAGGGCGGACAGGATGAGCGGGGAACGGGGGAGGGAGAGGGCCAGGGGGAGACCGAGGAGGAGGAGGAGGAGGAGGAGGATGAGGAGGTGGAGCAGGAGGAGGAGGGGAGGGAGGGAGGGAGGGAGGGAGGGATGGAGGGGGGAGGGAGGGGGAGGTCGAAGGGGGGGAGTGAATCACTCAGCGGCTGGCACCCACGTTTCTGCCCAGCGGC